TTACCAGTTAAACTGTTTCACATATCGTGGTTACCAGTTAAACTGTTTCACATATCGAACTGGTTACCAGTTAAACTGTTTCACATATCTGGTTACCAGTTAAACTGGTTACCAGTTAAACTGTTTCACATATCGAGCTGGTTACCAGTTAAACTGTTTCACATATCGAGCTGGTTACCAGTTAAACTGTTTCACATATCGAGCTGGTTACCAGTTAAACTGTTTCACATATCGAACTGGTCACCAGTTAAACTGTTTCACATATTGACTTTCACATATCGAACTGGTTACCAGTTAAACTGTTTCACATATCGAGCTGGTTACCAGTTAAACTGTTTCACATATCGAGCTGGTCACCAGTTAAACTGTTTCACATATCGAGCTGGTCACCAGTTAAACTGTTTCACATATCGAGCTGGTTACCAGTTAAACTGTTTCACATATCGAGCTGGTCACCAGTTAAACTGTTTTAACACATATCGAGCTGGTCACCAGTTAAACTGTTTCACCAGTTAAACTGTTTCACATATCGAGCTGGTTACCAGTTAAACTGTTTCACATATCGAGCTGGTTACCAGTTAAACTGTTTCACATATCGAGCTGGTTACCAGTTAAACTGTTTCACATATCGAGCTGGTCACCAGTTAAACTGTTTCACATATGGTCAGTTAAACTGGTTCACCAGTTAAACTGTTTCACATATCGAGCTGGTCACCAGTTAAACTGTTTCACATATCGAGCTGGTTACCAGTTAAACTGTTTCACATATCGAGCTGGTTACCAGTTAAACTGTTTCACATATCGAGCTGGTTACCAGTTAAACTGTTTCACATATCGAGCTGGTTACCAGTTAAACTGTTTCACATATCGAGCTGGTCACCAGTTAAACTGTTTCAGGTCCACAGTTATGTCTCATCCCCAGCTAAACTGGTTCTCAGATGTTGCTTGAATATTGCTAAAAGTGCCGTAAAACTAAACTCACTCACTGCAAAGGTCCAAAGGACCAAAGACCATAATCAACCCAGTTTGGACTAGTTTTGGAATGTTAGAACATTGGCACCAGTGGAAGTCTAAGGATTTAGTTAACAGCAGTAATCTCAAGGGTCTGTCATATATATGTGATAAATAACTGTTAGGGGATTTGATGTTTTGATATAGAAAGTAGGGACCAGATATGAGAAAGTGATGCATTACCCTAAATGGGGCTTTGCTCTTTGGGAGGTGCCTGTTTGAGAACTGTTCTTGCACTTAAGGGAGACATTAGCGTCTCTTGAGAAACATTGGACCATATGGATTGGTGGGTATTTGTTCAATACAGTGGAAACACTCACAGATCCTCAGATCAAACAGCATAATTCCAGCATTTAAGTTCCTTCAAATCTATTGAAAGTATTTTTTCCGCTAAGCTACCTACACATGTGCACATATTGGAGTTGTCCGGTCACTCAAGGTTATTACCTACAGGATTCAGTGACACATTTTTCTACTGAGGTTCGCCTACGCTAGATTAACTTGAAAACTTATAGATTTTAATGAAATATGTTTCTACACTTTTAACACTTTTGCTGTACTGTCTCATTTACATCAAGGGGCGGTGGGGTAGCCTAGTGGTTAAAGCGTTGGCTCGTCACGCCGATGACCCGGGTTCGATTCCCCACATGGGTACAATGTGTTAAGCCCATTTCTGGTGTCCCCAGCTGTGATATTGCTGGAATATTGCTAAAAGCGGCGTAAAACTAAACTCAGTCAGTCAGTCAGTCATTTACATCATTGTGTAGTTTTGTTGTTGAAGAACAAGGGGCCATGGGGTAGCCTAGTGGTTAAAGCAATCCCTCATCGCTCAAAAAGCAAAAACAGTATCATACATTTAATTGTAAGTTTATTTCAAACATCTCACAAAGGGCTGTTGACCCAACACCATTAGGTCATAGAGCAAGATTGATGGCTTCAATATGGAGGTTGAAAGAACAAGACAAGGCCTCTGTGATGTCATTTGAAACAGAACTAATAATGACCATCGTTAAGGAATCAGCAGGCCATTATAATTTGAAGCAGCCCGCTCCTTTCTGATAACTGGAGGGCGGTTTCATGCAGGATTCAGGAAATGTTCATCATCAAGCATAATTGTACACTTAGAGTTGCAAAACTTGACTTGTCACTATATGGCTGAAATATTGCTGAGGTGACGTTAAATTTTAACTCACTCACTCACTCCAAAACTTGAGTAAGTGAGTGAGTTTAGTTTTACACTGCTTTTAGCAATATTCCAGCAATATCAAGGCAGGGGACAGCAGAAATGAGCTTTACGCATTGTGCCCATTTAGGGAATCAAACCTGGGTCTTCGGCATGAAGAGCAAACGTTTTAACCACTAGGCTACCCTACCTCCCACAAAACTTAACAAATGAAGAGCACAGTGTTATGCTACACTATGAAAGATTTCAACAGTTCAAGGGTCAGCTTTTTTAAACAATCTGGATTGATTGCATGGTGATTGAACTTTTTGATCTGACCATGTCCGCTAGTGTGTACTGTCGATTTCACGTCAATATCGCAACCATTGCATCAGGTTTATAGCCATGTCCATGCGATGAAAATACCTTTGAGAATTTCGAATTAATTTCTTCGTGACTGCACATTTATTTTGAATGGAAAATCATTTGACATACTGGTCATAAAGTAATCAATTTTCTCTAAGCTGTCAAGATGATTGACAGGTTGTTGAAAACAATATTTCAGATGTCAGTATCTCTCTAGGTAGCGTGACATATACATTTCATCTACTTTCTATCAAATTTGAAACCAGAGGAAATAAATTAACTTAAACTGTGTCAACAAAAAGGGATCAAACAAATCTTTTTCTCTTTCCCAAGGTGTTACTGAAATGTTCATTACCTTATTCATTTCGAATTTTAAGTTTAATAACTTCTTTCAAATATCACATGAATTCTACAGGCTCAGAATGTAATAGCATGAATGTGACAAAACATTGTAAAAATACAATGTCAGATGTCAATTACGACTGGAACGCAGATGCAAATATTTTCTGTCAAAGATTAATTATTTCTCATGGGACAGCGAATACATTTGTTCCAAACCTTTGTCCAATCCGCTAATGTGACCTCTTGCTTCTTGGGACGATTCAGATTAGGAATTGTTATTTATCTGCTTCGTCCTTGATGCATTTGGTCATCATCCCAATTCTTTGAAGCTCTTGAGAAAAAGATCAAAATATGCGCAAGCATGATAACTTCAGTAGGGGCTTTTCTCGATGCACTTTTAAAAGTGCGTGCTCAATTTGATTGGGAAAGTCTGGATTTGACACTCGCTTCCATGTTGTCGTCAGAATGTTTTAAATGAGCTGTACAGATTGTGTTTCTTTTCCAACGAATGGCACTTCCATGTGTTTGCTCTGATCCTTTCAAATTGCTTTTTCCTGACTTGGACGGAAGGGGGATTTAAGCAGAATTTATTTAACCTTGGTCTTCTTTAGTGTAATGAATTTTTTACTTGACACAGATATCCCACATATGATGGCTTATGGCAGAGATTTGTGTGTCATCTTTGTCATTACTCAACTTTTCCAGATTGGATTTAGATACAATCTTGTGAATAAATTCAAAACTCAATTGAAGAAAGAGACTGATTTCTTCAAATCCACATCTTAGCGTATTGGACCTGCCTTTGTAGACAATATGGACACCAGCGTTGTTGCATGCTTGATTCCAATATGTCTAATCGACTGTCAACTACCAAAGTATGTAGATGTTAAAAGACAATGTCTGACATTGATTGCACGGAGGACATTTTTACCCTTTTGTGAACACCTGGTGTTATCTTTCTTTTCCAGTGATCTAATCATATAACTTTAACTAATATATTGCCTGTAATGCCAAGTGGAATCTGTTTTGGAGACAGTGATTTTCTGGAGTTATGAAACATTGGCTGACATTGTGTTACCGCTAGGGCAATGAATGCTTTATTTCCATGAACACCTGGTGTCATCACTGATTTTTTCAGTAGACCATTTGCATAATTACACATTATTTTGTCTTTTTTTTTTCAACTGAAATCTGTTTTGTTTCTGGTGTTGGTGCTTTATGTTATATTTACATCAGAAAAATATTTGTTCATCACAAAATGATTGAAAATCATATATGTGATATATGTTTTCATTACCTTGATAAACCAGAAAATCAGAAAATAAAAGGGTATAACAACACAGTCAACCAAACAGCTGCATTGGACCATCCAACATTTGACTTGATGACATACAATCTACCAAATCTTTGAGAGTGAGTGAGTGAGGTTTCACGCCGCTTTTAGCAATATTCCAGCAACATCATGGCGGGGACACCAGAAATGGGCTTCACACATTGTACCCATGTGAGGAATCTAACCTGGGTCTTAGGCATGACAAGCGAACACTTTAACCACTAGGCTACCCCACTGCCCCCTTTGAATTGGACCACCCGATAGATCCATTCGATAGATCATTGTCTGCCGTTGGTTTTGTTCTGTTTTTGTACATTGTGGGCAGTTGGATTCATTGGTAAGATTATATAATTGCCATATGATTTACTATGGTTTATAAAATACACCACCCATTTATTCAAGTTGACTAAGAGGTTTTAGGGGGGCGATCCGGGGTAGAATAGGTCTTCAGCAACCCATGCTTGCCACAAAAGGCGACTATGCTTGTCGTAAGAGATGACTAAGGGGATCAGGTGGTCAGGCTCGCTGACTTGGTTGACATATGTCATCGTATCCCAGTTACGTAGATCAATGCTTATGCTGTTGATCACTGGATTGTTTGGTCGAGACTTGATTATTTACAGACCGCCACCATATAGCTGGAATGCTGCTGAGTGCAGTGTTAAACAACCAACCAACCAACATTTCAGCGATGACACTGCCATGGAGCTATGCTTATGTTAAATGGACATTTTACACTGTAACCAAGGGTCACTTATATTGAACTTGTTTTCTATTCTTTTTCAGTGTATGTACGGACTTTTTGCGATTATTTCTCTACCTGGATGGCCCAGGAATTAACGAGCATGATCGACATTCAGAAGAGCTTTGTGGCAGCCTCAATAGCACTCAGAAGAAGTATTTTTCTGCTGATCGAGCTCTCATTCTGGAGCTTCATGCCGATGGTTTGCCTGGCAACTTTACAGGTTTCCAAGGAAGATACCAATTTTTAGATAAAGGTGAGAATGGTTTCAATAATTAAATAATTTATTTTATAATTCAAATTAAATATGCGATAAATAAATTATGTAGCTTAGAGTACTAGTGTTATCAGTTACTGAGTATAATTATTAGTTTAAGTGGAAGATGGTTGCGCTGGTTTTAAGATCAGTATTTTACATTTTTGTTCTTGTAGTGTAGTGTTTCCAATTTGTCTTGATGGAATCTTCGAGTACAGTCTGGATGTATTCAGTATGCATGTAGGCTTAATGTAGAGGCTTAGAATTCTTAAGTCCCAGCTGTGAATTCTCTTACAAGGTCATTTTGTGTGAGACATTTCTTTGAAGTTGTCTTTCAATTGCCGTTGAAGCAGATGTGAATAATGTTATGTTGTTTGTGGAGAAAGGCAACAGCTCAGATGAGGCTCTTCTTTTGAAATGCCAGACTGAATTGCTATATGATGAAAGATAGTATATGATATAATGATAAATAAATAACCTTTGATATATTGAATATTTTTGTTGCTTTGCTAATAATTTTATCATAATATTTATCTGGGAATGCAATAAATATTGATGTTTTATAAAATCTTATACAGTATAATTTATCAGATAGGTAAAAGGTTAAGGTAATATCTTAAATTTAGTTAAGACAGAGAATTTTATAAGTTTTTTTTTTTCTTTTTGGTAAAGCAAATAATTTATGATTGCACTCTTTCTTTTCTTAGGCATTTTTATATGTATTTTGAACCTCTATAACACACATCACAGTGTTAAACATCCTTGCATGATATTGGTATAATCAGCCCCTGTTGGTATGAAAAAGACATCTACATACTGCTTATAAATAGCAAACTCAGTTATAGATACCTGGAAAAAGATCTGCACCAATATCTGCATAAAATGCACATGTTCCATATGCAATACTCATAAAATCGACATGCAGATGACATTTCCAAATTTGAAGCATCTGTAAAGTCAAAAGAAAATCACTTTTAATTTTACCATATGTTCCTGTGTCAGATCAGGTGAACAATTTATTTGGCTTTGCATGTGTTTGTGATGGATGTCAGTATTGGGGCAGGATCACTAACCTTTCTGCAAACACCTGGTAGCATCACTCTATGACACTGATTCAGAAAGATTCACATGAGTGTAAAGAAAGGTTGTGTATAATAATTTAAGAAATATATTTAAGGTACATCCTGGAAAAAGAAGTAGTACGTTTATTCTAATTGATCCACAAAGGCACTGAACATGAAGAGGTCAAACTTTATATAGTTTGTGAACAGAAAAAGAAAATCATTCATCAAAAGAAATAAAAATTATTAATATGGTCTATATGCAAATTATTTATAAGTGAAATTTTAAGAAATAATTAAATTTGTATAGTGTAATTAATATCTTAAATTATTCCTAATTTTTTTGTTGAATGGTGTGCACTGTTAGATTGAGGAAATTTTATTACACTGATACAAAATGTCACATGACTTCTAATTTAACACAAACAGTTAAAGTAACTTCTACTCTTTACACAAAAAGGGGCGGTGGGGTAGCCTAGTGGTTAAAGCGTCCGCTCATCACGCCGAAGACCCGGGTTGGAATCCCCACATAGGCACAATGTGTGAAGCCCATTTCTGGTGTCCCCTGCCGTGATGTTGCTGGAATATTGCTAAAAGCGGCGTAAAACCATACTCACTCACTCACTTTAGACAAAAAAAAAGAATGCGAAGACTACGATGAGGACAGGGAGGAAATTTGACATCATTGAAAATAGGGTAACAAAACAGAATTAGTAACAAGACATATTTTAGTGTAAATAATCAAGTTAATTGAGTATTTCATAGCAACACCAGAAGAGTTGCTGCTCATGAAAAGCGGATTTTTTATACTTGATACTTATAGAAATATTGCACTTACACGCAGCTGACAAACACGAAAGTGTTAAAATCCTTGTAACAAGAAATAACACGTCAGATCACAGTTATCATTTTTACATTCTGTATTTGCTTACATATTATTACATGTTTGAAAATCACATCAGCAAAATTATAAATAGAAATATTGATTCAATAGACTCACATTTGTACTCAACATCACAATCCACCTTGAAAGGTAAGAAAAGATGAAAATAAATTTATCTGAACATTTCCTCTTTTCTCTACTGCATTTTGTTATTGACCTTTACAACCTTGTTTGTTTTATGTCTATGACTTAACTTATGTATTTTGATCAATATGAAAACATGTATCACCTAAAACTGGGATTCACTGCTGAAATATGAGTTAACATTAGTATGGACAAAGGGAGAGAACTCTAAATTTGTTCAGTTAAACACTAAAACTTTGCTTTGCAGGAAATAAATGAAGCATGAGTAAAATAACTGATTATTTGCAGTTTTTCATAGTTTTAAAGTTTGGTATTTTTTTCTAACTTGTGGCACTCATTATTTTCCAAACTGAAACACCTCTGTCACACCTATGCTTCTAGTGCTTAATCCCTTTAGGAATATATCTGTTGATTCATGCCTGTTTGTTGATCAGAATTTAGATGATATTTATGGTATGTTATTAATACAGTTAGCTATTTAAGTTATTAACACATATCCTGCATCTAACTTTTCAGAAAGCTTGAGTCGAAAGGAATTAGAAACACAACAGTCAATGTTAATAAAATCACCTAGATATGGTAATGAGCAGCGTGTGAATACTAACATCAGTGTGAAGCTTATAATGTGATATACTGGTCATGTGACCAGCACTTGCTGACCAATACCTGAGGTGATGTAGGGGCTGGCGATAGGGTGTTGTAGGGGAGGGGGAGTGATTTGGTAGGGGTGACGATTTGGTTTTTGTAGGAGTTGGAGATACTAATGGGGGTGTTGTATAGGGTGGGGATAGGGTGTTGTAGGGGAGGGGGAGTGATTTGGTTTTGTAGGGATGACGATTTGGTTTTTGTAGGAGTTTGAGATTGGGTACTAATAGGGGTGTTGTATAATGCGGAGACTGGGTGTTGTATGGGTGCTGATTGTCTGTTGTAGGGGAGGGTCATTGGGGTGGTAGAGGTCGGCGAATGACTGTTGTAGGATATTGAACAAACTTTATGGATAACAACTTCTTTCATTTCGTGAGTTTCGATACAGATTCTTGTACCGTTGTCAAGCAGGAACAAGAATCTGTATCGAAACGTCGCACTTACGAAATAACAGAAGTTGTTATCCCTAAAGTTGTGTAATATTGTTTGTCCCAACTCATAAAATGCCACTCTGTTGTAGGGGGTGGCAATTGGGGGTTGTAGGAGGTGGCAATTGGGGGTTGTAGGGGGTGGCAATTGGGGGTTGTAGGGTGTTGGGGTTGTAGGGGTGAAATTGGGGGTTGTAGGGGTGGCAATTGGGGTTGTAGGGGTGGCAATTGGGGGTTGTAGGAGGTGGCAATTGGGGGTTGTAGGAGGTGGCAATTGGGGGTAGGAGGTAGATTTGGGGTTGTAGGGGTGGCAATTGGGGATTGTAGGAGGTGGCAATTTGGGGTTGTAGGAGGTGACAACTGGGGGTTGTAGGAGGTTGTAGGAGGTGACAATTGGGGGTTGTAGGGGTGGCAATTGGGTTGTAGGAGGTGGCAACTGGGGGTTGTAGGGGTGGCAATTGGGGGTTGTAGGAGGTGGCAATTGGGGGTTGTAGGAGGTGGCAATTGGGGGTTGTAGGGGGTGGCAATTGGGGGTTGTAGGAGGTGGCAATTGGGGGTTGTAGGGGTGGCAGGGGGGTTGTAGGAGGTGGCAACTGGGGGTTGTAGGAGGTGGCAATTGGGGGTTGTAGGGGGTGGCAATTGGGGGTTGTTGGGGTTGAAATTGGGGGTTGTAGGGGGTGGGATTGTTGATGGAACGTGCTGATAGTGGTGTATAGGTGAGTGAGTGTGTGCATTGAGAGAAATAGGTAAGTGATTGACTGTGTGGAGGATATGTAGATGAGTGAGTGAGTGAGTGCTTGTGTGGAGAGTAATGTAATGCTGTGTTGAGATTGATATCGAAATGTGGTGAATGAGTGAGGGATATATGTAGATGAGTGAGTGTGTCAAGAATGAGTGAGTGTGTGAGTGAGCAGTGAGTGAGTGACAAGAGTAATATATTGGTATGTTGCAACTGATATCTCTAGGTGAATGAGTGAGTGATATATGTAGATGAGTGAGTGAGTGTGTCAAGAGTGAGTAAGTGAGTGAGTAACAGTGACGAGAGTAATATATTGGTATGTTGCAACTGATATCTAATGGTAGGTGAATGAGTGAGTGATATATGTAGATGAGTGAGTGAGTGTGTTAAGAGTATGTAGAGAATGATATCTTGTTAGTGAGTATTGTGTTGAAAGTGGATAGTAGATATTGGATAGTGAATAGGTTTGATAAAGTGATATACATCTGATTGACTGACTGAGCGGCGAGTGGTATATTGGAGGGTGAACAAGTGTATTGGAGATATAGGAAAGTGTGTTGAGAAGTGATTCCTGGTTTGTGAATGAATTGTGAGAATTATACACATAAATAAATAAATGAAAGGTGTAGAGGTTTACAGAATTTACATAAATGGTTAAAAATATTGTGAACCAGACCACCAACATCTCAAACTACCAAGGGGAGCAACTCTTGTATCCATGACTATCTGTTTTATGTCATGTGATAATTCTTCAGACCTATCTGATCTGGTGATCACAGTATGGGTTATAAACTTAATTACTCAGGTGTTGGTCTGCAGGGTCAAACTTTTGCAAACTAGATGTGAATTTTTTTTTTTATTCCATGTTATACCAGATTTTATGCATAGAGCTACCTCTGAAAGAATGGATGTTGTTTTTTTCCCCAACTTTTTAACTACAAAACTGAAATTCATCCTGGCATACTGCTCAAGATTTATTTTGGTATTTCTTTTAACAAATACCTTATTTATTTTTCTATTTTTTCTATTCATGTGCCCGGTATCAAACCCTGTTTATATGTTGTTCTTCTTACTAAACAATTAACTGTCAAAAACTTCTCTGTCTTACTATCTCATTGCCTTTTGTGCACTTTTAATGTTATATGTGACAAGGGGCGAGTTATGTATCATAATAACCTTTGATCCCTTTTGGAGAGTGATTAACATAATCATATACAAGATTCCTCGATGCTGGTGACGTGCATGGGGATCAGGTGGCTAGTCGATGCTCGCTCTATCAACCACTGTTTTCCAGCTCTTGGCTTAAGTCTATGAATGTTTCAGACTGCTCTGAAAATATTTAGAAGTGTCGTGGTGGGGTGTCTAGACTAGGCACTAAAGATTATATACTTTGGGAATCAAACCCAGATCTTTGGCAGGACAAGCACAATTGCTGATGCAGAATTAAGCAACTTTCACTCACTCACTGAACCAATAGGTAATCCTTCTACTGGTTTAACATGTTGACCGCCTATCACGAGTATACTCGTAGTATCAATTCTGGCGGAATATGCCACTACAAGTTATCTTGTAGCTACATCAGTGAAATTTTAAAACAAATTTCACATGTTGGAAAATCGGCACAAGAATCAAACGTCTCCTAGTGTTCTTTGTTACCTCCAGGAGACGATTGCTTCTTGTGCCTGTTTAACCAACATGTGAAACATGTTTTAAAATACCACTGATGTAGCTACAAGATAACTTGTAGTGGCTGTTTTACCAACATGTGAAACATGTTTTAAAATACCACTGATGTAGCTACAAGATAACTTGTAGTGGCTGTTTCACCAACATGTGAAACATGTTTTAAAATACCACTGATGTAGCTACAAGATAACTTGTAGTGGCTGTTTCACCAACATGTGAAACATGTTTTAAAATACCACTGATGTAGCTGCAAGATAACTTTTAGTGGCTGTTTCACCAACATGTGAAACATGTTTTAAAATACCACTGATGTAGCTACAAGATAACTTGTAGTGGCAAATTCAGCCAGAATTGATACTACGAGTATACTGGTGATAGGCAGTCAATGTGTCAACAGTACAGCTGCAATATTGTGGCTTAAAAACATTTATTTTGGACAAATAGTACCTTCATATATCTTTTTATGTATTGTGTGTAAAATATTCAGAAGAAAACATTCAGAACAGTGTTGTATATATATATTTACCAATAGCTTATGTATCTGCACCAGCTTTCAACATTGAGTGAATTTGTTGTAATATATGCACATTTATGCAAATTATTTGAATATTACGTTATATTCATTATCGTTGTGTATATTATGTGAAATGAGCTCAAAGTATAATTAGGGACACTGAGGATGAAAATCGATAGAGCAAGGACGAGAGGGTTTAGGGTGTTTTTTGACTTCATGTCTCTACAACATATGTGCACAAGGATTTTCTATTCCTTTTCTGCAGTTCTTTTGATTCTGTTTTTATATAAAACTCCAGATCTTGAAGTTCTACATATCACCAAAGTTTCTAATAAGACATTAAAGACATTGATGTTTCTGAAATATGAGTGATATGTTCTCTGTTTTCATCTTTTATGTCCATAATATTCTTATATATTTAACTATAAAATTCTGTTAAATCTTATCTTTTCACAAATTAGTTATGTAACCAGCTATATGGAGCTAAGTTTGGAAAAATATAGAATTGTGTCCTCTTTCAGTGTTTACATTTGTATGTTTTATTTGATGAAGCTCAAAGATCATAGTAATATCATAATTAATTCAGGTAAACAAATAAACAGTAATGAATATGAAATCATGAAGTTAGGATTGACATATACATTGTTGAGAATTCAAGATAATGGACCCTGAAAATTTCAGAAAATATTTTCATGAATATAAATCAAAACTGTTTAAAAATATAACATGCTTTAGACTGAATGATAAATGATTTTCTTTTCAGGAATATCATTGTAACTTGCTGTTTTTTTATGATTTCTTTTTTCTGTCTTTTTCAGAACAATTTGTGATATCTGGAACCAAAATGCACGGGACCCAGTGTACATATTATTTTGATAGTAATAACACGAAATCTGGTCGACTCTTCTCTCCATTTTACCCTCAAAACTACCAGCCTATGTCCAAATGTCAGTACCATTTCCAGGCAAAACAGGGAGACAAAGTGAGAATATTTTTTCAAAACATCCAACTGCATCACACAGGAGGAAGGTAATTATCATTGCTATCATCATCCTTTTCTTCATTAATATTCATCATCATCATAACATATACTTCCCATCAAAAGTTTATCCTCACTGAAAACACTCACTATATGTTATGCATATACATTGTATATGGTTACATCGAAGATTGATTTCTCCACTACTTTGGGGGAACCAACTGCAAACCTTATGCAGATGAATTTCACAAGGATCATGCATCAAATTGCTGAAAAGCATGTGCAAATATCATGAATGTGAACAGCTGCGTTTTGGTGTAAAGTTTTGTTCAGAATTCGCCAATTTTCACTGATTTTTATCATTTATTGAACTCATGACAATAATCTTTTCAACGTTACAAATTTGTTTTACAATGCATCAGTTCATGTGTAAACAGTACCTTTAAACAGTATGGAATATTTTGCAAAAATTTAGTTACCTGAAGGCTATATTTACACTAGTGAGTCTAAATTTTTGATGGGCAGTATATTTCATTTGGGGTTTTATTTTAAATAAGGATGAAAGCATGTTTAACAGGGAGGAAGGTATATTATCATCATTATTATTATCCTTTTTTCCCTTAATATTCATAATCATCATAACATTTCATTTGGGGTTTTATTTTTTTTGTTTAACAGGGTTGTGTCTGATAATTCCAAAATATTTTATATGTGTATTTCATGACTTTTTACTTTTTTGTAAATTATTTGGTTATTTTATCAAATTTAAATATTTTCAATATTGTTTTCACATAGTTTACTTTTTGCTAATAGTTACAGCTTAAGAAGGGGGTTAGACATGTTTGTGTTTTCTATAGAACTTGTTTTTCAAACATGCTTTTATTGGTAAAAATGTTTCCAGAAAAGTTAGTTATACATAACCATGATTCTTGTATCATATGTATCAACATTTACCTCACTTTTGAACTTTTGGCATTATAAATAATTTGGTAAAGCATGTATCTGTGTAAGAAATAGAAGATCATTTGACAAAAAGTCATGTCACTCATATTACAGTTTTTTAGCTTAATCTATTGGATTTTTGGGGAGTTTCTAGCCCAAACATTGATCATTTCAAGCAGTGTGTGAAATAGCCTGAAAATAATGCTGGACAAGGGGGCTTGCTAGCCTAACACGTGACTTGCCATTTTCAAATTTAACTATTGAAAAATGCCTTGACCATTTGTAATAAATTCTGTTTTTGTACTTCTGTGTTTGATCCCATTTCCCTTCACAGCTCATGTTTAACTAGAGATAATGACCATAAAATTGGAATGCAAGTTGTGCTGTTAATTAAGACATTTTTTAAGTCAAATTGTGAGAGTAGATTAAGAAACATTCAACGCCCGACAATGTTTGATATGGGTAGTCAAGTTTGTTAAATAACACTGTTTCTAATTGGTTGACCTTAGTACTCGTAATATAACCAACCAAAACAGATTTGATGCACAGTGTTTCAGTTGCTCAAAATCTTGATAATTTCTTTTCACAACCACTGTTTGTTCTGGATATTAAATATAGTTGTCACTATTTTTATGATACATCAATACAGATGTACAGAAATGGGAGACCTTTGTTTTTGATCAGCTGAGAGAGGTACATAATCATTTGTCTTAATAATGAAACACTGTACTTGTGTACTATGAAGCTATTTGTACTGTACTATGTACTACTGAGGTAAAATCTGCAAACTTGTATCACTTCATATACAGGCTTTTACATATTTGTAAACAGCAGGATATTTGACAATGTGATCAAGGAAGCTACCTGTACTGTACTGTACTGTACTGTACTACTGAGGTCAAGTCTGTAAACATAATTCTGGGAATACAAACATGAAAAAAAAAAAATTAATCTTAAAATTTCAATAGCTTGTGTTGCAAGGGGCATTTCAGAATGTTTAAGCTCAACTGAAATTTTGCTATTTGCAGGCAGCTATTTCACACACTGATTTCAAGTATACCATTGTTACTCTTTTTGTCATTATTCATTAGTATTTGACACAGATCTCTGATACATGTGTAGTTTTGCTTAAGATGCGATTTCAGATATTCATGGAATATTACCACAAATTTCTAATTTTGATCTTTCACATTTTTTAATTTTTGCACAGTAGCAAAGGAGAGACCAGGTATAGTGGCTGTGCGATGAGATGTATCCCACACGCGTGGTGCTTTGTTCATATCCCCCAACAACCTTCACCTTTGTATATATCAGAATATTTGAAAAAGTGGCAAATGAAAACATTTCACAATATCCTACAAAAAATGCATATCGTTGTGTGTACTAGTTCACCTAGAATCGTGCTAAGCTGGCGTGTAAAAGGTTGTGCAGTTTTTTATGAATTCACATACACGATGTCATGTATAAAATGTATCACTTCCTGACAAAGCGCAAAATTTCCCTTTTCACTGTGTTGTTGAAGAATCATTTCAGGAGTGTCCACAAACAATATATACAGAACCCAAAAAGAAAGACATCATGATTTTTTGGAGGGATTTTTTAATGAAATTGTGTACTCAGTTTTCACTCCCAAAAAATACCCCAAAATATTCATGATGCCTAACTTTTTTTGTTCAGTATATTTCCCAGATTCAATGTTATACTTGCAAATATGTCCTGTTTTTACAATTGATGACATCATATTCGCATGAATTGTACGCCCCAAAATATAGTTTTAAAAAATGGCTGAGACCTCATGAGCATGTGCGTCAGTCTCTATGACAATGAATTTGAAGAATGTTTTAGCTTGTTCGTAACCTGGTATCTAAAATGTTGTCTTTGTTTTGCAGTTGTCGTTACAGCCCTGATGCCATTGTTGTTTACAATGGCCGAGACAGAAGTGCAGACGTTATCGGTCATTACTGCGATATCCAGAATCAAGTAGAACTTACTTCAACTGGCCGTAATTTGTTCATTGAATTCTATTCTGACGGCAAGTATGAAGCTCAAGGTTTTGCCGCCAGGTACAACTTCATCGGCCCCTCGACCCCGAGATCAGTGACAACTCAGTCGAAAGCAGTGCCTATTAACGGTAGGACCTCATTAACGTACCTCTCTGTGTACACCTTGAGTAACCCGCTGTGTGCTTCATGGTTGTATGGCCATGTACCTCCTTTTGTGCATTCATGTGTACCTCATCATAGTGCATACATGTACCTCCTTTTGTGCATTCATGTCTATTATTCATCAACAGTCTTCATTTCATTATCGTCCTCTTTTGCTCATAATACTACTTTCCTGTGTACCACTTTACAGTTAATTCCCATGTACCTTCATATAGTGCCTTCCTGTATATCTAATTTAAGTGTGTTCATATGAGCTCCTTGGATTAGCTACTTATGTAGCCCTTTAGATTATTTTCCTGTGTATTTTCTTAGATTAGCTTCTTGTGTACCTCCTCTGTGTAGCTCCTTATAAAAACTTCCTGTGTACCTTCTTGTAGTACCCTCCTTGTAGTACCCTCCTTGTACCTCCTTGTAGTACCCTCCTGTGTACCTCCTTCTACCCTAGTACCCTGTGTACCTCCTTGTTGTAGTACCCTCCTGTGTACCTTCCTTGTACCCCTCCTTGTGTACCTCCCCCTTACCTCCTTGTACCCTCTTTGTGTACCTCCTTGTAGTACCCTCTTGTGTACCTCCTTGTAGTACCCTCCTGTGTACCTCCTTGTAGTACCCTCCTGTGTACCTCCTTGTGGTACTCCTGTGTACCTCCTTGTGTAACTTCTTGTAGTACCCTCCTGTGTACCTCCTTGTAGTACCCTCCTGTGTACCTCCTTGTAGTACCCTCCTGTGTACCTCCTTGTAGTACCCTCCTGTGTACCTCCTTGTAGTACCCTCCTGTGTACCTTCTTGTAGTACCCTCCTGTGTACCTCCTTGTAGTACCTCCTGCCTCCTTGTAGTGTGTACCTCCTTGTAGTACCCTCCTGTTCCTGTGTAGTACCTCCTCCTGTGTACCTCTTATGTAGTACCTCCCTGTGTACCTCCTTGTAGTACCCTCCTGTGTACCTCCTTGTAGTACCCTCCTGTGTACCTCCTTGTAGTACCCTCCTGTGTACCTCCTTGTAGTACCCTCCTGTGTACCTCTTTGTAGTACCCTCCTGTGTACCTCCTCCTGTAGTACCTCCCCTGTGTACCTTGTTGTAGTACCCTCCTGTGTACCTCCTTGTAGTACCCTCCTGTGTACCTCCTCCTGTGTAACCTACCCCTCCTGTGTAACCCTCCTTGTAGTACCCTCCTGTGTACCTTCCCTCCTGTGTACCTTGTCCTTGTGTACCTCTTGTGTGTACCTCCTTGTAGTACCCCCTGTGTACCTCCTTGTAGTACCCTCCTGTGTACCTCCTTGTAGTACCCTCCTGTGTACCTCCTTGTAGTACCCTCCTGTGTACCTCCTTGTAGTACCCTCTTGTGTACCTCCTTGTAGTACCCTCCTGTGTACCTCCTTGTAGTACCCTCCTGTGTACCTCCTTGTAGTACCCTCCTGTGTACCTCCTTGTAGTACCCTCCCCTCCTGTGTAGTTCCCTCCTGTAGTACCCTCCTCCTTGTGTACCCCTCCTGTGTACCTCCTCCTGTGTACCCTCCTGTGTACCTCCTTGTAGTACCCTCCTGTGTACCTCCTTGTTGTAGTACCCTCCTGTGTACCTCCTTGTAGTACCCTCTCTGTGTACCCTCCTTGTAGTACCCTCCTTGTAGTACCCTCCTCCTTCTGTGTACCCTCCTTGTACCCTCCTGTGTACCTCCTTGTAGTACCCCTGCTGTGTACCCCCTTTGTAGTACCCCTCTGTGTACCTCCTCCTGTAGGTACCCTCCTGTGTACCTCCTTGTAGTACCCTCCCTCTTGTGTACCTCCTTGTAGTACCTCTCCTGTGTGCCCTCCTTGTAGTACCCTCCTGTGTACCTCCTTGTGTATCCCTCCTGTGTACCTCCTTGTAGTACCCTGCTGTGTGCCCCCTTGTGTAGTACCCTCTTGTGTACCTGTGTACCTCCCTCCTTGTAGTACCCTCCTGTGTGCCTCCTTGTAGTACCCTACTGTGTACCTCCTTGTAGTACCCTCTTGTGTACCTCCTTGTAATACCCTCCTGTGTGCCCCCTTGTGTGTACCTCCTTGTAGTACCCTCTGTGTGTACCATATCATATCTGTATCATGTCAATGTCTCATTGTCCTGTCAAATATACTGATCTTCCTTTATAAAACATATCTGTGGTATTTAAGTGTTCATACGTTTTCTCATCAAAACTCTATTGTTTATTTTATCATATGAATCATGTTTGAGTCTCTTCATGTAGTTAGAAACTAATATTGTGGTCATACTGCAACCAATATTCCCTGAACCAAGTCAGGACATTTATGTTCATTATGCGAATGAAGCACTCATAAAATATAGAGAGAACCATCCATCTTTTCCTTATGCAAATTTGGCCAGTCACCATTGTTTTCCCTTTCATCCAGTAATTTGATTATGTTTTATGCCATGTAAATCAACTGAGTTTTCTTAAAAAATTATTCCAGTAGATTTATCTGTTTCTGTAGGGGTAACTTACCGACCGCGGCCAACCAGCTCCGATGGTGAGTACCAATTTTAGCATGACTATTGTTACTGGTGCATATGTTTGAGATGGACTTCTTCTTGAAGCAATGTTTACTCAGGTATCCAGAATATGATGAATTTGTAAACATATTCACAAATTCTATCAGAAATTCTAGAATATTGATATATATTAAAAATCTCTATCTGCTTAGAGCTCTTATTTGTACTTATCAACCTTTAGCTTTCAAAGCAATGATCGAAGGGAGCAAGTTTCAACAAAGTTAGGAGAGCAAATCTCAGCTAATGCATGTGAATTTGAATCAAAACCAAAGCCTAGACTGCTTCAAGGATAAGACCTTGCTTTGAATTTGTTCATGCATTGTGGCTATATATACACATATGTATGTGCCAGGAGTGTGTTGGAACTTGGATACAATTTTGACTGTGAATTCGAAGGTACTGACATTTCTTGATTCACTAAGGATAGTATCTAAGCTATCATCCTGTTACATAAGTGAAGGTTATCTTATAAATGCTCTTATTAAGAGATAAACCCAGTTTGCTTTGAATTGACATGTTTCAAATGCAGATTTGATGCCTCAAAATTTCACTCATGTCATAGTCCAAGGCTTATGTTTTGAAAAAATATTTGATGAATAAGAATATGAGTATCAACTGAGGAGGATCACGTTTTAGTGCATCCATATATTCAGTACTCTCTTCACAGTCACTCTTCAGAATATTTTCTTCAGATTTCAGGAAGTATTTTTGTGTGCATTTTTTTGCATGACCCCATTCCTGATACAAGAACCGTCAATGTGTGTTTTGTAAATAAACTGGGGTGCGGAGTATAATGTTGTCAGTGACATGTAACTCAGGTGTTTTGAATATATTTGATGTGTTATTGTTTGCAGTGGAACTTGTGTAACAGAGGCTTCATTCCCCTGGTAAATTACTGGGGTGGGTTGGTGGGGGTGAGGATAAAGTCCAGGGTCACTGCTTCCTTCCTTGGGAAGCCAAGTGTTTAAAACGTTTGCTCATCGTGCCGAAGACCCTGGTTCGATTCCCCAAATGGGTACAAAGTGTGAAGCCCATTGCTGGTGTCCCTGCTGTGATATTGCTGGAATACTGCTAAAAGGGGCGTAAAACTAAACTACTCCACACCCAGATTACATTTTAAACCCAGAATCGGTTTGACAGGGGAATGAATTATCCTTTACACTTGTACTTCATGATGTCAACTGTTTTTCATATTCCAGGACTCAATTCATTTATGAAACTTTTCAGTCAAAAGGTTTTTTGTTGTTTCCTGGTAATTCGATATCTCAAAATTGATTTTGTAGTTAACATATCATGTGTTGCTTTTCAAATGAGATGGGGTTTTTATTTCAAAGGACATGTTTGTTCTGTGTAGTCTCGATAAATCATACTTAAAGTTCCTGAGTTTCTAAAGTTGTACAAGTTACAATGAGTTGATAAACCATTCATATCACAAAAGGTGATATTGCACTGCCTATGGAAACATTTTGATTGGATAGAGTAAGAAATGGATGAGTCAAAGAAACATTTTATGCAGTCTGTTTTAACATGCTGTCTGACTGGGCAAATATATGGTATAATTGCTCTTTAGTCATGGGATGTTATGAATTTGGTGAAGTAAACATTGATCTATTTTGTGAATCATAATATATTGCATGGAATATTGCATATGCAGAACTTGACCTATACATACTTTGATGAATAGCAATTCTAAAGATTTACATTTGCTGGAAAGAAGAGAATTGTTTGTTTCTGTTTTAGCTGATTGACTTCAGTGTACTGACCTTCTCATCTTTTTCAGCCAAAAATTAATATTAATCATTAATACTTTAAGGCATACTGTGCACAGGTTATAATTACCTGCCCTTGAAACTGTCATGAGAGTTACCTGCCTTGCCCTTGAGAATTACCTGCCCTTGCAAGTTACCCACTCTGGAGAGTTACCTCCCCTTGAAAGTTACCATCCCTAAGAGAGCACATGTATTCCACAGAAAAACAATCCTTCATATTGTGAAAGGTCAGTGAAGAAGCAAGAACAAAAGATTTTCTCCCTTCTCCCATGTGTTTTCTTGATAAATTGTCCTGTAATTTCATTCTGTAACTGAATCATGCATGTAGACATCAGGTTGATCACCCCAGAGACCATATACCGATACTGGTGATATGGTCTCTGATCACCCTGAGATGCAAACATCACATGATGGTAGACACATCCAGATATTGAATCATGACAGGTATGGATGAAATATCAAATTCCTGATATTAACAGGTAGGTGTTGTATGAGTTTGACTGGAGATGAGAATTACCAACATCAAAACACTTCTTTGATCCTTTATTACAAATGTATGTCTTGTGTGGTGTCTTCACAGACACAAGGCATCATTAAATAGTATCTCAGACTACCATGTAGTGGATGCCTTGTTGGCTCACTGGGTTGGACAGCTGACATTGTGTGCTGCCATGAAGATCCTCATTCTGAGAGTCTTGAGTTCAAATCCCTGACTGGACTCCTCCCTGGTACTAGAATTTGTACTTCTGTGAGAAAGTGTAATCCCAGATAAGACATTTGTTACCTTTGATTACTTTCTAGAAGGCAGTACATATTCTTCACTATACAAGGGTGGGTATCTTCATTATACAAGGGTGGGTATCTTCATTATACAAGGGTGGGTATCTTCATTATACAAGGGTGGGTATCTTCATTATACAAGGGTGGGTATCTTCATTATACAAGGGTGGGTATCTTCATTATGCAGGGGTGGGTATCTTCATTGTACAAGGGTGGGTATCTTCATGTACTTCTGGATATCTTCTTTAGCCATGCACCTTGTTCAACAACCTCTAACAACATTTGAAACTCATGTTTCCAATAACCCCCTTTTCATTACTATAATACTCTGGCAGAACTTGCTGTGCATAGCAGCGATATAACAATATGTCAATACAGTATTGTATCACAATACAATGTGATGATTTTCAGCTCTTCCTTCCAGGTACCAATTCACTGCTAGGTGAACAGGGGCATATTTCACAGTTTCCTTTGTCATAGTATACACCTCATGCTAATGTTCAAATGCAACCACACTTCTACCATATATCCAAGATCAACATGCTTCATGAACACCTTTGTGACAAGTGCGCTGTACACAGCTTTAACCATTTACCGTATATTACCATAGATAAGCCAAATTTTGAAAAAAGCAGTCTGTAGAAGGTGGTCGGCTTATCTACAGGTTACACTTTCGTCAAACTTGTGTTTATCTTTTGGTAAGAAAACAACATGGAATTGCCTCGTGTGAACGAACAAGAAAAGACGACTTTGTCAGTAAAGACGTCAAATTTGCAATTAAACAGTACTAGACAAGATTATTTACCTTTTCAGTTCTAAATTGTTTTTGCTGGGCATTGTCTTATATACAGGGATTAAGATTACCATGTGTAACTCTCTCATATACAGGGTCGTAAATAGCTGTGCAGACATATATCTCAACCAAATGTATATAGAGTAAGCATCCTTGAGTCATACTTTGATGTGTTAAACATATGGTTGTCTTGAAGTAAACCTTCCTTCTTTAGTCAGCATTGTTTAACTTTGAGTTGTAGTTTTCAGTTCCTGTTCCAAAGCCAAAGATGTACTTCTGTCTCAGATTTACCCTGATCTGGGCTTTAAACATCATGGTTCAATTAAGAAGCTAAAAAAGACAAATGTCTGAGTTAAAATGTCAAAGGTTTCCTGTCTTATTCAGTCTCACCTATCTTCATAGAGACGTTTCATTTCATCATCACTCTGACATGAAAGGAATAATGTGATTACATGTCTGTACAAATTATCAAATCTCTTATGGATTACGATTTGTGTTGGTGGTTAGTCTGTCATACAAGGGGGTAAGCGCAGTAGATGGAACAGTGAAACAAATGCACGTGCGGTACGTGATGAGCGTTAACTCAGACCAACCCTACTTGTTCTCGGTGTTTCATTTAAAGTGCATACCCCCTTGTAATACAAACCAACAGCAATTTGAAACTATGATCATTTGTTAAACAACTTTTATCCTAAGTTGAATAAAATTCTGAGATTTGAATGTTCAATTGGCAAGGTAAAATTATCAGGATTCGCAATCTTAATTTCACTTTATTCAATTTACTTTTTTGTTTAGAGTGAAATTCATCGGTACATTTTCACTGCAAACACACTATAATCAGTAAATGTGTGTTTAGTTCATTTTCCGGTTTCACTGAACCTGAGATACCTCGCAACATTTACATGGGCCCATTCAACTTCAGTACAATGGTGTTTGACTGTATCTTAAAGCATGAGCTTCTTGCTTGAATATGACCATTTCATTATTTTCAAAAGAAGGCAAGTCTATTTCACACCCTCTCAATTCCACTGAGTGTGGCGTGACAGGTTGATCTCAAGCTCCATCAATGGATTCAGCTGATCATTGTTTCTTTAGGGAGGCATGTCGTATCAGATTGAGAGACGTATTCATATTCTGCCAAAGCAATTATAAATGAAGAAATGAGAAGGGGTTTTATTGATTTTGGGAGGTTTTCACTTTCCGCAGGCTCGGTGCTTAAGAACTGAAACCAAATATGGCAACTTCACCAAATTCGTCGGATTTTCATCAGCCATGGTTGTCGGAATTGTATCCATCCCAACTGCTCTTTGTGACTTGGAGTGAAATTTAACTGCTGTGTTATTTGAATTGGACTTGATCTCTCAGGATTTTTGTGAGGGCTTCTAGCCTTAGTTATTCTTGTTCATTACTCTGTTGCAGTCAACACACAGGAACTGTCAATAGTGTTTCGATTCTGAAGTGCCACCTAGAAAACCTTTTAACTACTTTTAACCAAGTTGTTTTCTCTTGGTCTTTGTGTATACTTGTATATTTTTATCAAAGCAATTTTTCATTTATTCTGTTAGGATACATTTTTTATGAACTAGGTAACTATAACCTAAGTTCAGTTTTGGTATTGAGAGAATATTTAATTAAA